CATTGGCTAGTACCATACCGTATAAGAAGATACATAGTTCATCCCCGCGTTTTATATGCATGCTACGCACACCTGCAAACTAAGACAAACAGTATCGAATCTGTGAGACTTCCATTCCTACCTCCACACCTAGAATAAACTGATCGGCCGTATTCTATAGCTAAACGCCTTGCTATGACGGGCTGTTTGGATTGAGAGGTCGAATCTAAAACAAAATTGGCCGGAAATACATATATGGCCGCCGTCAGAAAGTATACAAGAGAAAGGACCCCTCTCACACACATGTGCCAAATTCCTGGAAGCATGAATATTTCCGTGTCCCTAACCTTAACGTAAACCATTGCAGTGACACTTTACTGCCTTTCAGCATTTCACACCTTGCCACGCAATGCATGAGATTGCAGTACTCAGCGTGCCCCTAGGCCAGCCAAGAACCTCGTACGAACGCTTGTCTCACGTGCAGGTTCGAATGCTCTACCGGTCTGGCCAATCACCCTTTAATGCTGACTCACGAAAAAAACGCTCTTAGACGCTGTGGTGATTGTCACGCTCACTAACGACGGGCGCTGACCCCTCACAGGTGGTAGCGCACTCTTCCGACAGTCACCTTTCACCAACCTATTCTCCACTTCTACTGTACAGAATACATGTTCATTCCACCTGGCCTCTCACTCTTTCTGATATCCACGGAATCAGGGGCAGGAGATCGCAGCGGAACGGGGTTTACCTATTAGATCAACTCACCGTGATACTTTAACCGCAACCCTCACGCTGTTTGTTTTACGCAGAACAGCTCACAGAAAACTGCTCTCTGCTTATCAGCCGGCAATCAGTCGTGCATTTAGGTCTCATAAGCTCCTAAGTCCCTTGCCGTTGACTTTCTTTTAGACAAACGCCCAACTATTTTATGCTTAGTCGTCACTTTGCCCATGCATCTCTTATACCAAATTGCGTTTTAAGAAGATAAGTTAACTTATTTATGTTGGACAGTAACGAACCTGTCACGCCTGAGATGTCTATCTTCTCCCCTTATCCCTTCGGTTTCGAAAGCATCCTCGCTGCTATGCTCACGAAATTTTGTATTTAACAGAGCTATTTCTGTCGGCCCCCAATGTTCCTCATTCTTTTCTCCTCAGCGTTATACCATAGCGGTACTTTATGATAGAGATACCGATCGAGTTCAAGATGTTGTCTGGTGCCCCTTCTTGCCGGTTGTCTTGATTGGCGTAAAGGTTTCCGCATATTCACCTTGAATTGTACAATTCGCCCTATGATCGATACACCCTGTACACCCATCGCTTCTTCCAGCTTCACCCATTCAACCAGCGTTTACGCAAACAACACTTTAAACTACTCCCTGAGGCCGTCACGCTCTGTGCTAGCCTGATGGTGCACATGGTGGACATCACCGAAACCGATGGTCGAACACACGCACACATACCAGCAACAACAAAGACTTCAGGTCCGTTGCCTAAGCACCCACCGATCTATCACTATCACCGCATATGTGCATCACGCAGTGGCCCGGTCAGTCATTTTCAAATCCATCGGACAGACTGAGGAACCAACGCCCTGTGCTTCAACATACAGTCGCCGCACTCGTCTCCACTGTCCACGCACATTCAACCATCGCATGCCCTCCATGAAAACCTGTGGTTCAATGCAGCTGGCTAAATCGCATCACACCTCACTAGCACCTACACCACACACCAACATTTCATCACATACCGTGTCGTCAACGAGAACGTACCACCGTAAGTTAAGGTATATTATCGCTTCCTGTTGTATAGAGCCCTCAACTCCATGCGCGTTTCTCGCCTGCTTTCAACGGTTACCCATAGCTTAGGTTTTTAACACCAACATAAGCATCTCCACTGAGGGGTAAGATTTATTCTCGGTCCCCTTTGCATAGGGGCCTCTCTGCCTCATGAGCGCGTATAGCCTATACTTAAATACTCCCCTCACCGCCTCTCTACACTTTTAGCACTCCCAAAAGAACTTCCAGCGAAAATTAAGTTGTGTTTTCGGTTTCATTTGCATAGCCTGACTCGTAATGATTACACCTCGCTTGCTTTTTTGGCCCTATCAACTGACGCTTTACCA